AAATAAATAAAATTAAATTAAAATTAAAAAAAAAAAAAAAGAAAAAAAAAAAAGACTCAAGGCCAGACCAGAAAGTGGTGTGGTGGTTAAGCATGGCCAATCACAAAAGAAGATAAATAAATAAGGCAACTTGAATCACAGCAGATAAGTACGTAAATAAATAAACAAACAAGCAAACAGACCCAAAGCCTGGGAACAGTTTCTTAGAGCTTTTGGTTTCACTCTCACTCATCCTTTTTACATGAAAAGTAGCCTGTGTTTGTAACTATGTCCTTTTTACATGAAAAGTAGCCTGTGTTTGTAACTGCATAGCCTTCACCACCTACTTAAAGCCTGTAGAAATGTGTCTATAGGCCTTTTTTAAGAATTTTTATTTTTTTGAAATGTTTCTGCTATAGGGTGTGTGCACTTGCCAGAAAGACAGAGAGAGAGAGAGAAAGTGAGAAATCACCCCTCAGGGGGATGGCCATGCCGCAATCCCTTCTCCTCCATTCTCTTCTCGGGATCTTGGGCACGCACGCACACACTCCTGGTGTGAGTTTAAGCCACCGAGTCCAGGACTTGAACTGTGGTCAACTACATGGGAGTCCAGTGACATCACCATTACACCAACTGCTGGTCCCTAGAATTTCTTAAAAATTTAACTTTACTTATTTTAATTTGACCAGAGAGGGACAGAGTGGAGAGGGGGAGTGAGAAAGCAAGCTACCAGGTCTGGGACTCGAATCATGGTCAGCCCTGTGGGAGTCCAGAGCCCTTAACCACCTCGCCACCTGCTGGCCTCATTTTTTTTTTTGTATTATCTCTGCCCCTTTCAGTCTAAGCTGGTATTGTTTTTGACAGTCCAGTTATTTTTCAAACTTTGTGGGTCTCTTGGGCCAGTCAGTAGCCTGGTGGTTAAGGTGGCTGGATACCACCTGGCTGACCAAGTCCTAGACCTGGTGCCTTGAAAAGCGTACTGAACATGTGTGCCTGCATGCTCAAAATACTGACAGATTGCAACGTAACCACGCCCTGTGGGGGCTGCTTTCTCACTTTCTATCCATGTCTTTTTCTGGCAAATGCATGACCCCTCTTGCAAATAAAAGACAAAACAAAAGGGGCCAGCACATGGTGTGGTGGTTAAGGTGTTGGAATTCCCACATGGCCGACCACAGTTCGAGTCCCAGACCTGGCGGCTTGCTCTCTTTCTCTGGCAAAATTCATGTGAAAAAATAAATACTAATAAATAAACAAAATAAATTATTCTTTAAAAAAAAAAAGAGCACACATGGGAACAGTGGATGGCGTAATGATTACATCACTGGACTCCTACGTAGTCGACTACCATTCAATCCTGTACCCAGCGGCTTAAAATTCATGCTGGGTGCATGTCTATGCCTTCCCCAAATCCCGAGAGGAGAATGGAGAAGAAGAGATGGTGGCATGGCCATTCCCCGAGGGCGTGGTGTGATTTCTCACTTCCTGTCTCTGTGTCTCTATCTCTCCAGTGAATGTATATTCCCTAAGGCAAAAATCTCCCTAAAAAACAAGACAAACAAAACACTTCATGAGCTTCCTATGAAACGTATTGAGGAGGGCTTCACCCTGTTAGGCAAAAGCCATACTCAAAAATTTCTTCAAAATGAGTCCTTTTCTACCTTCACTTTTGAAACTACAGAGACAATACCCATAAGCCGCTTCTTTGGTCTTTGACCGAAAGTTTCTCTGTTACTGCCTTGCTTCTTCTTGTGGTCTTAACAATGTAGCTACACGCTTGGCTTCATCTTTCTGCTGTGCTTTTGTGACAGTGCCCTGCATTTGATCTTTGCCAAGGAGCCATCTCTTACTTTTAAAATAATTTGTTCCCTGGAGAGGCTGGGAATTTCCAAATCTAACCATTTCTGGCTTCTTCTTGTCCCTTAGTTTATTTCTCTCCTTTGTATTTTATTGTAAGCACCAAGAAGCCAGAAATTTCCTTTAACAAAGCCTGAAAAATTTCTGTAACTATATCATCTAGACTTTTTAATTTATTTTTTAACTGCCAAAGGTTGTGTGCACTGGCCGGAGAGAGAGAAACAGGAGAGGAAGAAAGCACTCCTCACTGTGGTGTGGTCATGCCATGATCCCTTCCTCATGTCTCCATCCTGTTGGGATTTAGGGCATGCACACATATGCACCCTGCATGTTTTTCCAGCCATTGGGTCCAAGATTCCATCCATGGATGGCCATGTGGGATCCAGTTCCCTTAGCCATTAGGCCCTGGGGCTAGCCCAAGAATTTCACTTCCATTTTTCTTCTATAAGTCTACTTTTTTTTTCCCCCATGAGAGACAGACAGAGACAGTTCCTTCAAGACCCATGCCTTCCTGCCCAGA